AATTGTGGTTGCTACTTTCCCTTTAATTCTCCAGATAGTGCTCCTGCTCTTTTCTGTCTCACCCTGGGCCCCAGGGAGAGAATTCATGGACCATATTAACAAATTCCTTTACCTTCACACTTCCAGAGAGGTTCAGCCAGCAGTAGGCAGAAGCTCAGGAAGGAAGGCAGAGTGAGGCTTCTCTAGAGTCACCAAAAGTAATCTAACACAACTGTCCTTTCTGGGTTGCCCTGTTCTCAGGTCTCCAGAAATATAGCATAAATACACTTCCTTTTCTTACAGAAAAATACTTAGACTCAGGTATTTTGTTGTAGTGACACAAAGGGGACCAATAAAAGTAAGTATATACAAGTATATATCACTGTGGCTTAACAAAATGTCAATAATTAGCTGTTAAAAAGGCTTTGTATAAAAATACTATTGATATCAAAATAGTGTTAATAGTCATATTTTGATAAACAACAAAACACCAAATATGAAATTAATAATGATGTGAAATACCTGTTCCATCCGCTGGGCCATCTCTTTGTGTAACTGTTGAATTGCATTTTTAGCTGTAATGTCTTGAGCTACTAGTTTATCTCTAGAAGCTTTAACTTCTTTATTAAGTTCCTCTATTCTTAATTCTAACTGTAAAGAAAATGATTTCCAGGTTATATTTTATAGCTTTACCCAACAGACCACCAACACCTCAGTTAATATATACGATGCAAACAGTGAGTGCAATGAATGGACTTCAATCACAGAAGTAAAAATTACCAGCACTGTTTCTCTGTCTCCTTGTTATTAAATTAGCATAAATCTAAAGAGATTGTGATACATTAAGGCATAAAATGGTGAGCCCTAGAGTAGCTACTCAAAGAAATATAGTGAAGAAATCATGAAAGAAAATTAAATACTACATTACAAAATATTTGGTCAGTGCAAAAAGAAAAGCAGCAAAGGAAGAGGGATCAAAAAGGACTTAGAAAAACACAAAGCAAAATGGTAGACATACATACAATCGTTAGTAATAACATTAAGGGAAAGCAGACTAAATACACTGAAAGGCAGAAACTAACAGATTGGAATAAAACACAGTATCCATGGGCTGGAGAGATGGCTCAGCAGTTAAGAACACAGAGTGTTCTTGCAGAAGAACAAGGTTCGAATCCCAGCACCCACATGGTAGGGGACCCGACCACCTCTTCTGTCCTTCGCAGGCATTGTATGACACAGGTGCACTTACCTACATGCAGGCAATACACATATATATATATAAAATAAAAATAATAAATAAAATATTTTAAAACACGGTATCCAACTATATACTGTTCACAAGACACACTTTAGGCTCAAATACAGAAATAACCAGCAGTTCAAAGACTGAGACAGGAGAATTGTGAGGCTAGCCTGCGCCACCTAGCAAGCTCCAAGCTAGCCTGAAATACATGGTAAGGTAGAATAAAAACATATTTAAGGATGAGAAAATATATCACAGGCAAACAACAATTATAAGAAAGTGTGAGTGGCTATACTTACATAACACAGATTAAAACAAAATTATGCACAATATTAACAAAGGAATTTGAGATTTGAACTATTACACAACTGTGCAACTATAATGCAGTCATACTACACTTTACCCAGCAGAATACACATCTCACAGGGCACATGGAACATTCTCCAGAATAGAACACGGGCTGGGCTATAATGTAAACACACCCCAAAAAGTGTAAAGATGGAAATCATACAAGATATGCACTATAACCATAATGGAATAAAACAAATTTGAAAGATTCACAAATTTGTGAAAATTTAACAATATACTCCTAAACAATGAGAGGAAATCACAATGTAAACTGATGCCAGTTCCTGAATAAAAATGAATATATAACATACTGAAAATGAAGGGATACATCTACAATAATGCTTAGAGGGGAATTTGTAGCTATAAATACCAACACTAAAAAGGGAGAAAGACCTCAGGTCATCAACTGAAATGTCTATCTTAAAGCTCTGGAAGAACAAAACCTAAAGCCAAAAGAAAGAGAATTGAGATAATAATAATGATTAGGGTCTAACTAATAAACACAGACTAAAAAGCAGACAACAAAACTAAAGTTGGTTATTTGAGAGGATTAACAAAATTGATAAATGTTTAGGTAGACTGAGACAGAGACAACACTATTAGAACTAAAATGAAAGGGGCTATCACTACTGACTCACAGAAATGTGCTTCCAAGTGAGAATGAATACTATAAAAATTTAACACAGATGAAATGGAGAATTCCAAGAAAAACACAAGTTACCAAAACTGACTGTAGCTGAAAAAGAAGGTATGAATAGACTATAGCAAGTAAAGATACTGAACTAGTAATCAAAACAAGGAGGAAAGGGGGAAGAGGGAGACAGAGGAACAGAGAGAGGCAGACAGGAAGAGAGCCCACTAAGTCAAATACTGGTCAGGATGGCTACACAAATTTTACCAAACATTTAAAGAATAAAAATTCTTTAAAAATTTCTCTTCTAAAGAGAAGGAATGCTTTCCAACTGACTCCATCATCTTAGGTATATGCCCAAGAGAAATGAAAGCACTATGTCCACAATAATTTTCAGACGAATGCTCACAGAGGCATTATTCTTAACAGTCAAATGGTGGAAACAATCCACATGTCCATCAACAGATGAAGAGATAAACAAAATGTTGTACTCTATATAATGGGAAATACTGATACATACAATTTGAATGTAACACTGACAAAATTATGCTGAGTGAAAAAACCTAGACACAACAGGTGAGCTTATGACTCCCCATCTCCTAAGTGTTCAGAATAGGCAAATATATATGCAGAGAGAAAGATTCGTTGTCCCAAGAACTGGGGACGGGGCAGGGCTGGAAGGTAACAAAGAGTACTACTAATGCCTATACAGTTTTGATGGGGGTGAAAAACAACAAACCGTTAACCACTGAACATACACGTGCAGTGAATGAACTGCAGGTATGTAAATTTTATCTTAAAAGTTGTTATAAAAAGATTTAAACACTAGCTTGTAGTAACAGTACTAACTTTCCTTACATTCAAAATATTTGAATATGTATACTCAATGAAAGTTAGCTGTTCTATGTTTTTTAAAGATTGCCTTTTTATTATTTTTAATTACGAGTGTGTATGTGTACATGAGTGCAGGTGCCCCTGGAGGCCAGAGGCATCACAGTGACCCTGGAGCTGGAGCTACATACAGGCAGCTGTGAGCTGCCCGACATGGGTACTGAACATCAAACTGAGGTCCTCTGCAAGAGCCATGTATGCACTTCAAGCTGCTGAGTCATCTCTCCAATCCCTGTTGTACATGTTTTTGTACTGAGGTGTGTTATTTGGACTTACAGCACCTCCAATCTAGACTAGCCACCATTCAAGGGCTTATTCATTATGTCTGGCTAGTGGCTGCCATATTAGACAGTATCAATCTAGAGATAAAATAAAGAAAATTCTGCTATAGTATATATATATATAGCTTTTATTTAGAAGTATGACGAGTTCGCTGGGCGTGATAGCGCATACCTTTAATCCCAGCACTCAGGAGGCAGAGACAGGTGGATCTCTGTGAGTTCAAGGCCAGCCTGGTCTATACAGTGAGTTCCAGGCCAGCTGGGGTTTACAGGGAAACCCTGTCTCAAAAAAAAGTAGTATAAAGTTTTCTAAATGCTAAAGACAGAGATGAATCCAATGTTCTCTTTTAAAAGGTATAACTGCTAATTAAGCTTATGAAGAAGTGTTCTGGCTTCACTCCATTTGTTCAATTTCTGATTATCTAATTACCAAAATATGGACTCAGACTACTATGAAGGTTTCCTCAGGCTACACTGTGCATAAAATCTTATAGTCTCCTTCCAGCTATGTGAAAGTGCATTAAATTTATAATAAAGCACAAGCAAATGAAAACTTGGTTTAATTTTGTGTATTATACCAGCTGCTGCTGTTCTCATCAGACAGCTTTCTGTGAAAGGTAACAAGAAATAGGAGCAGCACAACAGTGCTTATGTAAATGATGGCTGCATGTATGCTCCAAGAAGACCATCACCCAGTGTCTGATAGTGCTTAGTTGGAAGTATACCCTACACTGCTCATGCAAGGAGGAAATCCCTAATGATACACTTCTTAGAACACACCATCAGTGCTAAGTAACTGACATCTAAGGACAGAACACTTAAATCCTAGACACAGAAGAAAAAGCAGCTCAGAAAACAAACAGCAGCTTTGCTTTGTTACCAAGCTTAGATATTTGCCTGGAAGAACAAGAACAAGAAAGAAAAGGACAAGCTAGGGAGATCACTTAGACACAATTTAAAGTATGAGAGCCAATTCTCAGGGTGGAATTTACAAAAATACTGAGACTGGCCCATTCCACAACCATGAGTGTAGAAACGCCCCAATGGAAGACACAAGCACTCAGGAATTTAATGCTTCTTCCCTTGATTGGGGAAAAGTCTGTTTAAGTATGAAATCAAATCAAATCTTTTTATTATTTTGAACATAATAGAACGCTTAAATTTAAAAGTTACATGTATAAAAATAGAAGTTATATAAGTCAGGTTGATTCACACTTCATAAGAGGATGCTTTAAATGTCAATTATCTGCATTTGAAATAATGTAAACATTTTTTTCAGGAATTTGTTTTATAAACTGAAGTATGGGCTTTGAAGATTTTTACCTGTTTAATTGTGTTCATATGCTGCTTCTCTGTTTCTGTTCTTTTTTTTAGCTCTTCTCTTAAATTGTCTTTTTCTGAACAAATATCTAAGATGAGTTCCTGATGCTTCTTATTTTCTTTAATTAACCTAAACATAAAAGGGCAATATAAATAAAAAAAAAAGGAAAAATGAGATATGGAATATAATCTAGTTACAGATTCAATGTAGATACCTATGATTATATTAAGTCAACATTGCTAGGTAATCATTTTACTATAAATACCATTACACATAAGTGCCCTTAATGTCTTTCTCAGAACATATCCTCATCACTGAGTGTACGTTTAAGGATACAATGTTCCTAATCCTGTGTGTAGAGGCACATGAGAAAGATAAAGAGCAGCTCTGCTTTGTGATCAAGCCTAAATACTCACTGGGTTGAATCATATATGAGATGTTCTGCAAAACATTCTCTGGTTAGCACTTGTTAGGCAAGCACTCTACCACAGGGTCACACTCCTAGCCTATAACTGCTATTTTTATATGCCATGTATTGATTCCACACATAAGCTAACTCTTCTTAAGAATTCTGGTTGGGGCCTTGGGCAGTAACACTGATGTGCATGTAACAGAAGAGCAGAAATACAGTGCAGTGTTTTTTCTCAGAGACCAGGAGATAGAGGATATAGGAGATGATGCTCAAAGGGTACAAGCTTCCAGTTTAAGTTCTTGGGATCATCACTGTGGTGATGATAGCTAATACTATTCTAGAGCTGGGAGTGTAGTCAATACTCCATGCCCCTAAGTTAGATCCCTAGCACAAAGCAGGGAGGAGTCCACAAAAGTCACACCAGGTGAGTAATGTCTCTCTCACAGAAATGAACAACTTTTGACTCGGCCAATGGGAATCTCCCCATTTGAAGCTTCTGATTAAAACTGTCTTACCCTACTCTACCACACTGTTATTCCTCTGAGAGGATAGAACAAGAGAATCTTCTAAACTTTATTGTATTTCTAATATTTTTACATAAATTTAACAATTTGTAATTAGCTGATTTCCCACATTTCTAGACCCCTGAAGTCAAACTAAGACTCAGCTCTTAATCCTGTGCACACTTGCATGTCATTCTGAATGAGTTTCTTAATTTGTGCTTCAAGTACTTCATGTGTAAAATCAGGACAACAGTAGTACAAAGCATACAGGTGTGAAGAACCCAGGAGTTAATAAAGTATTTGCCAGGCACTTATTGCATATAAGATCATTAAATGTACACATCTTAAAATTTATAAGAGATGTACAAAAGTGTTAAGATTCAACATACAGGAAAAGAAAGAAGGGGTATATCATTAGTTGTCAACTTGGCAGACCTGGGAAGAGGGAACCTTGGTTGGGGACCTGCCTCCAGAATTGGCCTGTAGGCATGTCTGTGAAGCATTTTCTTGATTGTTCAGTGACGTTGGAAGGCCCAGCCCACTGTGGATGGTGGTCCTAGGTTGTATTTAATAAAGCAGGATGAGCATAGGTCAGAGGAGGTAAGCAGCTTTCCTTCATGGTCTATGCTTCATTCACTTCCTGCCTCCAGGTTCCTGCCTCCAGGATCCTGCTCTGAACTGCAGCCCTGACTTCCCTTGGTGATGTCTGGGAGGTATAAGATAAAACAGAACCCCTTCTTCCCCAAGTTGGTTTTGATCAGTGTTTTTAATCACAGCAATAGAAAGTAAGTAGGACAAGGGGTACAGAAATAATCTCAAGAGAAAGGTCTGAAATAGGTAGCAATTACAGGGAAACAAAAGAAGTTACCTAAAACCTGAGAGTACAGAAGCAGAGATTATTCAGATACGAAAACAGTATTCACAAAATAGCAGTATTCCAAGTAAGGTTATTAGTAGATGTGTTTTTAAGAAGAGCACTGGAGTTTCAAAGAGATATTTATATAACTGTGTTGATGGCAGAATTGCAACTGCCAAAAGGTAGAAGGAACCCAAATGTCCAAGAATATAAATACCATGTTATACATACATAGAAATGGTAAATATTATCTAGCATTTATGGAAATTCTGACACATGCTATAGCACAGATAAACAGTGAGGACATTATGTGAAGTCAAATAAGCCAATCACAAAGAGACAAGTAATCAAGTACTTGAAGTATTTACTTGCATCAAGTATCAACAGAACTCATGTTCATAGAAACAGGAAGTAGAAGAGGGGACTGCCGGGGACTGAGGCAGGTAGGAACTGAGAGTTCTTAATGGGAACAGAGTTTCAGATTTGCAAAGTGAAAAAGTTCTGGAGAGTGGCTGCACAATACTGTGAATATACAGAACATTATGAACTGTACATCAAAATGATTAAGATGGTACGTTTTATGTTAGATTCATTTTATCACAATTTAAAATAAATTTAAATGAGCTGGTCAGCAGGTAGTGTTTGTCAAGTCTAATGACCTGAGTTTGATCCCTGGAACCTGTGTAAACATAGAAGGAAAGAAATGACTCCACAAAGTTGTCCTCTGGCCTCTGTTTATGAACCATGGCGTACATGTGTACCCCCTCATATCATACATACACACACAATACTGTTTTTTGAATTAAAAAAAAAAACAGAAAATTTAATCCATGGCACACGGCCTTAGTTCTAGCATTCAGGGGACAGAGGAAGGTGGATCCCCATGAGATCAAGGCCAGTCTGGTCTACATAGTGAGTTCCAGGCTAGCTGGGGCCATCAGGAGATCCTGTTTCATAAAAACCAAACCAAAAAAAAATCTTTTAAATTAAATCTAATTTAAAGGAAAGCTTTAAATTAAATTTTAATAAAATTTAAATTTAATTAATATTAAATTAATTCCTAGATACTAACATTAAAATTCACAGGAAGAAAACAATGAGGATGAGCTGGTTTGGGGAACACTGACTTAACAGAGTAACAAGGGAAGACTAAAGACTTCTAGAAGCAAGGAGATCATGAATAGCCAATTCCACATCAAGCAACACTGAACTGTGATGTATTTTATCCTGTCATCCTCTTCTGGCATGTAGACCTCCTTTCTCCATATACACTTCATTAATTTTAAAAGAAAGGTTAAGCATCACATTTTAAAAGGAAATCAGAATGTTCAGTGAAGCATATAGCATGCTTTGTTTTTCTTTCTTACAGGCTGCAACAAAATGCTTAAATTTTTGCATCATTTAACAATCTAAATCTGTAAGAAAATATAAGGTAATACAGTAGTTAGGGAAAAAAGCTGAATGAACTTGAACTACCACACAAATGGAAGTCTAAAAAGCAAAATGTTCCTATTTCTAAGTGGTAATCAACCAATTCTCTCTAAATTGTAAACTTTTAAACCAACAATTTTAGAAAAATTACTGTTTCATGATTTCTAATTTAGTTTTGAACTTATTTTGATATACTTTATTTACATTGTTTCAAAAGTGAAAATTTATAAAAGGTTCTAGCTCCTTAATGGACTTATACTATTTGCTATATTTATTTCTTTAGGCTTATAATACTAAATAACCAGAAAAGTTGAGAGTTGCTCAATTGTTCAGAAAATGGGCATTTATTGACCAACTATGTACATGGTCCTGTTTTGAAATGAACATTTAAATGATACTTTCCTTAAAAGAACTCAATTTCTAATCCCATGGTGGAAAAAAAAACTTCCTAAAAAAATAAAAGACTTACCTTTTAATAGTATGTTCCTGCTGCAAATACTTATCTTGCACACACTTTTCAAACAGAACTAATGCATGTTCTCCTTTATTCATTCCATTTGGTACTTGGTATTCTTCTGAAAACTCTGTAGATAAAAGCTCAGACTCTATTTCTCCCAACAAATCCTCCGATGCTGAAACATTCCTTATTTTTGAAATAAGTCTCTTGGTGCAGTCTGTATCATAGGGGCTTGCTGAATAAGTCTTTGGATTTGCAGCTTCTCTAACTGTAGATGATCTTAATTCTGCCAATATCTCTGTTACTGTCGGTTCTGTTTCATTTGGTTTTGGTACTTGCTTTGCAAAATCTCCACTTGGAAAGTCATCTATTTGTTCAGAATTTTCTGGACCTGTATCTGTTTTAGCACAAGGATTCTCACCTCCACTACCATCTAGAATATGATTTTCCTGAACTTCAATCTGACCACTGTGTTCATCAGGCTGACATAAAATGTTGTCTAAGTTCGAAGGTCGTAGCTCAGACTCAGTTTCTATTGTGCTGTTTTCATGACCTGAAAATGAGTTGCTTAAGTCTTCCTTCAATTCAGAGGTTTTTCCACTATCTGCATCAGAAGAAATGGAGGCTATGTGCTCTGTCTCTGACATGCTGACTGGCACCAAGTCACTCTGCATTTCTTCAAATCTGCTCCTGATCTTCGTTTACATCTATGAAATCAAATATTTTAAAAAATTTAATCAAGGCCCTTTGCACATACTCTATGATACAAAGTAACAAAGATCATAATTTTTACCACTAATAATTCCTCTAATAAGGGCCTTCCCTTGAGAAAAAAGAAAACAGCCAACCCAATTTTGGGTATGACCAGCAGGGAGGGCCACTGCAGTCTCCTTATCCTTCCTCTTCTCTTCAGTCATCCAGCTTCACTAATCAGTTTTGGTTTACAGTGCAGTCCTGGTTTAAGGACAGGCCATGACTGGAAGAGTGTTGGGAATGCCTTCAGTCTTTTGAGGGAAAAATGTTATTGAAGATCTTTAAGGAAATGGGACGAGAGGACAGCTATGGAAGCACTAGAACTATCACAGACCAAGATAAAAATATATGCACATCAGTGATAAAAAATTTCCTGTGAAGGAAACCTAAAACACAACAAGACACAGCTCCCTACAGCTCAGAGACCTCACAACTGAACCCCCTATAGGAAACAGCTTTTAATCTAGGCAGGGATCCCGGAAGTTCCATGGTGATTTTCAAACATCTGTCACTGCAAATCAAATGGAGCCTATTATAGGTACTGTCAAGGTCAATAAAAGCAGAATTAATCATTTGACAAAGTTAGAATATATTTTTATATTATTTACAAAGGTTCCTACTCTAGCTACTTTATAGAAAATTAGGCAACTTCAAAACCTGCCCTGAGATAGCTACTATAAAATCTACTGGGCAGTTGAAGAAAGAGCTCAGCTGTTAAGAGAAGGAACTGCTCTGGCAGGGGACTGGAGTTCAGTTTCCAGCACCCAGGTAGGGTGGCTCACAACCTCCTGTAACTCCAGCTTCAGAGAATCTGACACCTTTCTCTGGCTTTACATGGGCACTGCACTCACATACACAAAACCAGACACAGACAAACATATACACTTAATTTAAAATAATTCTTTTAAATCCTTAAAAAAAAAAACAAAAAAAAAAACCTCCACTGGTCTTGATGAAAAATGAATTGTCAGCTTCTTTGGTCAAGTTTCAAGGATGCATAAAAAAGGTAGGTGAGTTCCAAAGACAAAGGAGATTAGGTAAAATTAGGCAAATAAGTTTTGATAGCAACTATAAAGTAGTAATTCCAGATGAGATACATTCATGGAAAATAAAACAAAGATTAATTTTTGGTGCTGGTGAGAGACACTGAAACAAGAAGAGCAGTCTGGCCACAGAAAACTCTCAGAATACTAACCAGGATGAACTCTGGTAAGGATAAAGCATGATAAACCAGAAGACTTGCACAGCTTTTGATTATACTATAGAATTTCTAGTATTAAGCCCTCAAATGGTTGTTAAAGTAAAGCCTGTATTAAACAAAGTTAGTATCTGAGAAACACTGTCGTCCTAGGAATGTAGAAAATTAGAGGAATAATTATAAGGGAGGTCATCTTGTCTGTTAGTTTAGACTGGCTTTGGGGGGCATCAACTACAATAGCCACTGATCTTAGTACTCTCAAACACTTCTGTAACACCTATTTCTAAATGACCAAACAGAAATTAATATTATCTTGTTGTACGTGTTTTATAACCAAGCCAAAGCCCATATTGATATTAAAGGCTTTAGACAATACAAACAAACACAGTAAATAAGCAAAAAGCTCAGTATCTATGTATGTTGTATTTCAAAGTCTTGGAATCTAAAATGAATCTCAGGTGCGTTAACCACTTAAAGTAACTTATAAACTAGCTTACTCAAAGTAACTCACTTTAATGATATAACGTGAATATGTTTTGTTGAATTTAAAATCTTACCAATTTAGAAACTAAAAACAAAGTAATTTTAAACATCATAACTAGTTAATGTTATATCAACAGAAGTTGAACCCAAAACAAACCCATATGCAAAGAGTAGCAGGTAGACTACTTAAGGGAGAACAGGACTATAAAGGCATTGTGACTCCCCAGCATTCTGCAATAGAAATTTTATCAACAATTTTAAGGCTCTTGTCTGTATGTCATGATTTGTCAACAGAAAAACACTAGGCAAAATACCGATTTAGGTTCCTTAGTCTCCCCAGGTATGATGGTTTGAATGAAAATGTCCCCCATAGACTCCAAGGTACACCAGGGTTCACTCCCAAACCTTTTAAAACCATTCCTAGAATGGATCCACTTAGATAACTTGAAGCAGCAACTAATAGCTAATGCCTATACAGGTATTTTCAGTCCTGTACCCTGGACTTATAGATATCCAACTATTTCTTCTTCTTCAGGCTACATTGTGTCCACAGTAAGGTCTGCCCTATGATACTCATTCCCTCAGGGGCTTTCTCCAAAACCAAGAATGTCCAAAACTAGAATCTTAACTATAGTTTCTAAAACTGAGACCTGTACCCTGCCAAAGGTATCTCTCTACTTCATCATCTTGACTTCCTTCTCCTTTGCCTTAATAATCTCTTTAAACAATTTCTGTTCTGTTTTTCTGTCACTGTTCTCTATCTGTAACCCAACCCAGGTCTCGTCTCATCTCATCTCATCCCTGAAACACTTAACTGTGGTTTCTCAATCTCATTGCATTCTTTCCTTCCTGCTCTACTTGCTTTAACTCCAAGTGAAAAATTACTAGAAGGAAAGTATTGGGAGGTGGGGAGGAAGGAAAACCAAGGCAAGTGGTAGGTAACAAAGGTTAGAGACATGATTGAAGTAGTGCTGTAGCTCTGTCAAAGGGAATCAGAAACTACAATGAGTATGTCTTCAGTGATTGAAAAAGGGTGGGAGCAGGTGTGTCATACACCTTTAGGCCCAGCTCTAGGGAGGCAGAGGCAGGCAGATCTCTGTGAGATAGCCAAGTTCCAGGTCAGCTGGGGTTATAGGAAGACCCAGTCTCAAAACAAACCTGTGAGGGGCTAGGAAGCCACAATACTGCTCCTACATAAACCTCAAGACCACAATCAACTACAGGCAGATGAAGTGGTATGGCCAGGGCCACCTCTCTAGAGATCAGGTAATGACAGCCCAGTCTTCATTGTTGGGGTTTTCTTCCCCCTATGCTAAAGAGACTGGGTAGAGACAGGGAACTTGTTTTCTGTCTTGAAGTAGGATTAGACAGACCCCTTTAAATCAAGCAGCTAGGAACTAAGAGCTTCAATTTTTCTTCAGGGAGAATATGTTTGTGATTTCATTTTTGTTTCTTAAATGACTGGGACCTTTTTCAATGTCTTGAATATCCAAAAGAGGCAAAAAAAAAAAAAAAAAATTGCAACAGTAGACCAACACATTAAAAAGGACTGTACTTCAGAGGACAGTTGAGTAGCTGAAAATTTTACACAGTATAACTAGATACCCATGAAAAAAACAAAACTTTTTCATTTTTATATCCAGAGCTGAGATACCTCAGTAACCCAGTTTTATGAGTTTCCAAATCTCTCTCAACATATTCCTAAAACCTTACTGCTTTACATTACTTGAATACTGTACTGACTATTCCCCTACTTTGCACATTGACCGTGGTTTTGTCCTCATCATCTAAAAGGTTCTTCCCTTGTTGTACATAGCAACTAATTATGTTTAAAAGGACTGATTTTAATACCACACCTTCCTCCAAGTTATCCCTTATCACAAGTACAAAAATAATCTCAACATAAATTAAAACATCCTTCATGCGCACCCAAAGGTAACACAGCCTTTCTTACAACACTTCTGAGCAGATGACTACCTTTTAAATAAGAGTGCTAGTCTTGTAACAAGGAATTCACTCTGAACCGAAACTCCTGAAATCTCAAACAATAATAAGCCTAATGTTCTGTACTATATTAACAGTCGTTTTTGCAAACACTGTTCAGCAGTTCTTAATGGCAGGAAGACTCACAGTTTACAAAATAATCTGGGGCCAAACAGCCTTTAGTGAGTGGGGAGTGAAGGGGGAACAGGCTGAAAGGAGACATCTAGTGTTTAAGACAGTACAGAACAAAAATTTATACTATATTCTATGGGATATTCATGGAGGTAACCTATTTACCTAAGCTTAGAATCTATTTTACATATCACATAAAGACTAAATTTAACCTCCAAAGACAGGTAATTTCTGGTTTTTTTCAGTCTTTTTGTTGATGATTGTTTTTTGACAGGGTTACCCTAGTCACAGCCCACCTGGAAGTCAGGATGTGAACCAGGATGGCCTCTGCCTCCGCCTCCCAAGGGTTGGGATTAAAGGCACACCACCACACCCAGCACATAATTTCTGTATCTTTTTTCAATAATATGCCATGACCTTTGAAAAAGTCATCATGTACATTGACATCTGATAACCACCAAGAGCTTAGAGACTTAGTTTGCTGCATGTGTGCCCCAATGAATACTGACTGGAGACCAAAGAAAAAGATCTCAACAAAGATCATCATCTCTCTCATCAAAGAGTACTCAAGAATGGTAGCAGACAAAAACAAACCAATGAACCACATGATACCTTTATGTCCATGATTAACTAGGGGAAAAAAGAGTCAGCTGAATTCTCCAAGTGTCCAGTTGGAAATGCTGATAGAGAACAATTTGGATGTTGTCCAAGTTTTTCCTTTTGGAAGGAAAGCTGTCATCAAAGTTACTAATAGAACAGTCAGTAGTAAGTAGGCTAAAGGGAGGACTGTAAAACTCTTAGAAACTTATTTACAACATTGTGTTTATTTATTTATTCATATATATTTTTTTAGTCTTTTTGAGACAGGGTTTCCCTGTAGCCCCAGCTGGCCTGGAACTCACTATGTAGACCAGGCTGCCTTGAACTCACAGAGATCCACCTGCCTCTGCCTCCTGAGTGCTGGGATCAAAGGTGTTGGCCACCACGCCCGGCCCCGTTCATAACATTGTTTTAAGAAGTGCTATACAAGCCAGATTCACATTCACAGATACAGTAATTACAATTATTGATTACAATGTGCATTGCTATTTTGAAGTAAAAAGTAACATGTTATTTTGACTTTCTAATAACTCTCACTCATCAGAGAAAACTACTGAA